CATCTAAGAGATTGTTTAAACTCACTAACTCCATGGCTCAGAGTCCTTCTTGAGGAAACCAAAGCTTATTATCTTGTTCACCAACTACATTTTAATAATATAAATTCGGTATTCAGTACAACTAATATCAAAGTACCTGATACTACAGTTGAACCAGCATAATCCTGTTCCAGCAAAGTGCTCTGAATTCAATATACCAACTTAATTCTCACTCTTAAACAACACTAACCAAAGTTTCAAAATTCAGTTTAATTACAGTCTAAGTAGGTGATGTTTACTTGAGGTATAATTTTGTGTTTATAATACATTACCTGTGGAGCCTGTATGGTGACTCCAGCTGTGGTTGATTCAAACACATGCTCATAATCGCCAGCAAATCGACTCACATCAGTCGATGTTCCACCCATGTCAAATCCAATGACAGGTAAATCTGTCTCTTTCTTGTATGTTGTCACTGCATAACCCACGACTCCACCAGCTGGTCCTGATAATATTGCATGTGACCCACTGAAACTGCCAAGAACATGATATTAATGAAAATATTTATCATGTGGAATTTTAAATCAATGTTATAACATCACTTTAAAATCTCATTTTAATAGGTGAGTAATTCTGTATTTAAGCATCCTATTGCAAGCCATATTAAAACGTCTTTGTATAACACAGTCCATCAATAATGCAGTGAAGACAACACCACATGCTGCTAGAAGGAACAACACACAAGCAAGGTGCATATTGCAGATTGCAGACATAACAGAACAACGGGCTAATGAACATAAAAACAAGCTGCTGCAATAAAACACCTGGAGATAAACATATAGTTCTAAACAAATGGACAACACCCCTTGTGAGGTGCAATACAATTTCGCAAAAGTAATGAAAAATATTAATAGAAAATGTTAATGGATTTTATTTTATTTTATTATATTAAGTGGACTACAGCATGTGATTTTAGGGCATATTAATGCAATGTAGCAGTTTTAATATATTAAAGACACCTGAAGATTGCCACACGGGGCCAAAACATGTTGTGTTAAATGCCACCAGGAATGTTCAGGAAAACGAGGACAGACTATTTTATAGAAAACACATCTCCACTGTAAAGATCACTCAGTTACTGATGTTTAGAAAAATAACCACTGTTTCTTCAAAGAGTCAAATAAAAGCCATGTATTTTCTGTGTGAAACTCTGTGCTACCTCGTTTCTTCCTTGCTCTGAGTCTATAAATGGATGAATTCTATTTGCACTTACGTATCCATGCATGTGAGCCCACCATCACTCTGCATAAAGAGCACATTGACACCCACCAAGTTATCCTTGAAGCCTCCTGAAAAGCCATTTATATACTTGTGTATATGTGGAGTAAGGTATGCATCAGCACATGCTGTGAATCCACGGGGAACTATGCGAACCATTGGCATCACTTGGTGTGAAAGGGACACATGGTTGAACCCCACTTGCCTTGCCACACGGCCTACTGCTTCTTCATGTTCTGGATACCTAATCAAAACATGAGAATTCTTTTTTAGTTGTTTGTATGCTTAACCAATTATTATTATTATTATTATTATTATTATT